TAATTTTTTTATTATTTTATTTAAAGGTACTGTAAACCGTGTTCACTGTTTCTATTTTATGACCACTCGTACAACATGCTTTTTAATCGTATTTTTACAGATGTATCAGATGGTTTAATTTATAAGAAATAGATGTTCAACTTCTTTCAACTTATTTAACGTGAATTTTTTTTCAAACTGTATAATCTTTATCTCACCAAAGTTAATTATAATAATATACAGTCCAAAAATGTTTGAAATTGATTTTTGTACAGAAAAAAATTTAATTTTTCAAAACCCTAACTACCGCTTAACTACTTGATTATAATTGACTACTAAGTAAGACAAAGGAAAGCAAATCATAGTATCCAACTTCAAGAGTATAAAAAAAATATAATAAAGTTATTGTATCAACGGTATCGTGCTTGGAAAATACAAAGTACAATTTGATTAATAATTATATTACGAACTCTCAAAGCAAATGAGCCATGTCAACTTATTAATTACTTGACTCATTAAGATATTTATAGTTTTAGTCCTTATTCAACTTGTCCTTAGACAATTTGTTAGAATTAAAGTAACAAGTATATTTTATAAGAAGGCCATTTTATAGGAAACCATGGTATTAATTTTAGTAGAAAAACCTAAGTAAGTTATTCAAATTTAAAATGTGTTTTTACTATTAATTTAATTTTTGGCTATAATTTAATTAATGATAAAGTAATAAATTCATAAAAAAAAAAATAAAAGAAAAGAACCCTAAAAATAGAGTTAAAAATAATTTAAGTTGAATTCCGTAAGAAAATAATAAACGTTTATAACACTGATATTATGTGTATTAATTTGATTAAATTAATTTAAATTTGTAATACAAGTTAATTTATGAACATACCAAGTGATGCATTGTAAACTTTATACAACGTTTTAACGGAGTTATAAATAATAAATTAAGTATAAGGAAAACAATTTTTTTTAGATTATTCGTTTTACTTAATTTATTCAACATACATGAGATGTATATTTTATTTTGGGTTAATATATTTTGAAAATGTTCAAAATTATATTGTTATTTTTGTAGTTAAACCAATTTTGAACGAACAATCATTTCAATTCATGCCTTCATTGACATCCAAAGAATACTTTAATGTGTAATGTTTTTTTTTTCATGACAAAAGAATTATTCAGGTATGAAAAGTTAATTTCGAATAAATTTAAGCTAGATTGTGTTAAGTCAACTGATCACACGTATGTCATTAATATGTAAGTTAAACAATATTATGTGTGCTTTAAGACCTATTTATCTTTCAAGCTGAGAATGTGTGTTTTGATAAACTTATAATTATGATTGTTATGAGTAAAATAACTACAGTAACTGTATATATTAAACCTTATATGACCTACATATAACTGTATCTATATGTAATAATATTTTTAACTAAAGGACTAAATACTTCTTAATATTTAAGAATCGTACAAACTTTTACAAAGATTCTGAAACTGCTTAAATCGTAAATATGCATGTCAAAAGCAGCTATGAAAACACTTATAAATCAACAATATACTATACTTAATACTATAAAATTATTATAATAATACCATATTTTTTTCTAATCAGTAATTATAAATTTTACTATGATTAGTCTATTTGTCACACAGTATAATATTTTTTGTTGTAAAAATATGTGTACACAGAGTAATTTGTAACAATACCTACTATGTATCGTAATCAGCATAGTATCAGACACATTTAATTTACATTAGCCTATTATAATTATTATACTCTTTATAATCAATAATAAAAATATCTTAACTCAGATTGTTCAAACAAATAAAGTAAAAATACAGTGAAAATATAACAAGTAATATTGTAATAGATACAAATGTATAATATTATTTCAGTATTAGCGCACACTTGGGCATACCGGAGTGATTTTTTATAAAGAAAATTGTTATTATGAAACAGAATTAAATACGTTTTTAGCAACAGAATATTGATTAAAGTCAACAGATGATGAATGTTTCCTAAATTTATTAAAAATGATTTTTATTGTGATGCCTATTTATATTGTGTAGATTTAATAGAAATTAATGAAAATTATTTGAAACTACGAAATTCATTACATGTTGTAAGCATGTAAGTGGACCTATGCGAGTGAATGCCAACTACTGATGTTAGGTAATATTAAAAAATCGAAAACTATTAAAAAGTAAATTTCTTTCATTGACACAATTTAGTTATAATGAGTACCTAACCTAAACAAGTAATTTTTCAAAAAATTATATTTTTTAATATTTTTAATTGTATATTATTAGAAAACAATGTAATTTTAAATTTTATAAGTACTAGTTAAAGTAAGTAGTTCAAATATTTTTAACAAAAATCTGAAACCGATTAATAATTAGTATCGTAATTATTTATCACGAAAAATTGTATTTATTTATTCATATAATTGGTAATTCTTGATAGCAAACAAACTTCATTCAAACATTGTAATCTAATCACGTTTTCACGAAAAGTAAAAATTAACTTGCGAAACATGATAAACTAAATTACGTAATAAAAATTAGGTACGTAATTAAAACTATTATTATAAAAACTTTTAATACTCAACACATGAATTAAAGATTAAAATAAAATTCTGTTGTATATTAAATACGATCACTTGATGTAACATTTTTATTTTTGTTTTATATATAAAATCCTCAGTGGTCTCTAAAATAATATAAAAAATTAATCGATAGAACTCGTAAATATAATCATATATTTTATGTACAATGATAGAAAATGACTGTAAAACACTTAGTACAAAAACTTATCAAACCGAATTGCTTTCATTAACAAATGGTAAATTTTAGTTTAAACATCTGAAATTAAGCTTGAAGTTAATTAATTATCGAATAAAGTATTAATAAATACATCCGAATAAAATATATTTTAATTAGCAAACGGGCAAAAACAAGCAATCTACACCAAAAATAATACCCAAGTAGTTCTATAATTATCTGAACTGTATTTGAGGATTATAATTAATAATCTTTTTAATATTTGAACATATTACGTATAACATTAATTACATTTTAATTCTTATTTGTTTTCTAATTAAAATAACCATTATCATAACCAATATCATAACAAATAAATTCCATTTCTAATTTAATAAAATTAAGAGTAATATATACAATTAAACGTAAAGGTAAAAATTATAGCTAACTGCACATAAAGCATTTGTCTCAAAAGTAATGCGTCCCATTTTGTTCTGTATTATGTTATAGCACATAGGTCATAGCTATGCACGCTAAAATCGATAAATGACTATATAATAATTGCTAGCGGTTTTTCAACTTACAAAAACTTTTCAACTTACAAAGTTAACTACAGTGGTTTACATGTTTAGTAATCAGTAGTGCACCTAGAAAGGATCAGCTGATAAGGCAGCACCTGAGCCTATTGTTTAATTGTTTAGTTTTATGATAAAGTGAGTTAGAATATCTAAACGATTAATAACAGTAAAGAACTAAGTATCTTAAAATTAAAAATCATAAAAGAAATCTTAAAACAATACAACAAATTAGAGTTATAAAGTTTTCAAGCCGTTAAAACAGAAAAATCTATTTTTAACGACTTAAAAATGTTATGATGAATATACTTAATGATTATACTTCAATGGATTTAGTATTGGTATTAAAAATATCATCGTATTTATTATTACATAAATCATCGTCTAAATAGTAATAATGTCAATAGTTAATGAAACATTTCTTATTATTTCTGAAATAGTTAATAATTAGCCGGTATTGACTTACCTTGACTGGTAAATAACTGTGATCCAAAGGAAATAGTTGTTTAAATAATAAATATTGGTTCCAAAATTTGAAATTATGCCACTTACTTTAGAGCTCTTATTGATAAAGCTTAAAAGCTACCATGCAAGCCGAATAACATCTGACTATACATTTTACATAGATTTGCAACTTTTAAGAGGTTGGTATATTGAAATACGTATAAAGTTTGAGTTTAAGTCGATATTTTTTACGTGACTACAATAAAACTTGAATTTGAACATTCTGGATAAGATAGATTATTTATAAATTAAATAAATCAATTGTCTACAACACTCCTTAAGCGAATATTTTCATTTTAATTAATTTCAAAATCAAAATTAGAAATTTGTGAATAGATAAATTTTTTTCAAGATACTTTGGTTATTAACATATTCTGTTTAGAAATATTTCGACAGGTTATGATTTAAATGTGACAGACATTAATGACTACAAAGACAAGGCTTGGCCTTTAGGAGCTTATAATGATGATGTAAATACCTACCACATTTATGATATATTTAATTATGATTAAACCTATACAATTCTAAAAAATTATATTTTTTATAATTATTATTATGATATGAATTATCTCAAATATATTTTATGTTATAGCGAATAATTATAGAAAATCGCATTTCTTAATCAGTCTCCTCGAAATTCGAATTTAAAACCGTGCATTTTTTATAAATAATTATAGTTCTAATAAACTCATTACAAATTATATTGAATTTGAAATTATAAACTAATCAAAAATCTAATTTTATTTTTATAATACCTAACTAAAAATATAATTATATCGTATTTATGAAAATACATTTTTTTATCATTAATTTCATAATAATTTTTACTGAACATCTAGCAATGGAATTGTATTGTAATTAAATTGTGTCAATTATTGAACACGTTGTATTAGGACTCTACTCTAAAAGTTAACTTTAGTTTTAATAATATCGTTGTATCAATGCGCAAATTTAGTGAGGATTATTATTTTTTTCTATTATTTTAATTTTACGTACCAGCACTATTTGGATTACTCAAATCAATATCGGCTAATTACTACTATACAAAACGCATAGTAACTCGTGTAGAGTTGATAGAAATTAAATTAATTCTCTAATTTTAAAACATATTTAATATGTTCACGGGTTTGTACAAAGGTTGTGGGACACGACGCACACGAAATAAGTAAACTGGTCATGTACGTACAAAAGAATATTTATATTATTTTATCTCATTACGATAAACAAGCTAAATTTTACAATACACTGGTAATATTAATGTATCTTAATCTATACACGTAATAATAATTAATAGGTATTACAATATGTCAATAAATAGGTGGAGTGTAGTAGTGTAGGTTCATAATAATAGTAATAATAATAATAATAATAATAATAATAATAATGAAATGTACAAGTCATGAGATGATAATACAATAATGCAAAATAGGTAGTGATAGTAATAATGTGAGTCGAAGATCTATCTCGTCGCGGGTTCTTCGCCGTACTCCGCCTCGTACAGCATGTGCAAGATTTTCATGCGCATTTCGGCGTTTTTGCGAATCGGCAGACGGCGCAACGCGGCCACGCAGCTCAGCGCGAAGTGTTCGTCCGAGTCGTCCACCGGGTCCGATGACTCGTCCGGCCGTTTCCGTTTGACGGCGGGCGAGTCCATCATCATCATGGACGGGTCTTGGTTCTGCACGTGAATACCGATGCCATTGTAGCACGGGCACCCGGTGCTCGGCGGCGTGGTCAACTCGGCCTCGCACATGTCGGACGCGATCGACACCATGTCGGCGGTGTGCGGTTCTTGTCGGCTGTTGTTGTCCATCGTGTCGTCGTTGTACTCGTTGCCGTCAAAGCCGCCGCCGGACATCTTGTAACTGTGAACAAGCGAAATGCGCAAAGAAACGCGCGTTAGTGTGTGCAAACAATGGCGCCTCGGCTAGACCGCTGCTGAGCGTGCAGCTGGGCCCATTATTATGTCGTTGTTATTACTCTCTGGGCTCGATGTGTGGTATCAGAAACGCCATTTCGTTGTAGTAGATCCACATTTTCTTCTTGCCCTTGGGCCCGAACGTCCTCTGCAACCGGTGGAACCGCATGAACGAATCCCGGAGCGTACGCCATCGTTTCTTGACTTCGGCCTCTGGAAACGAAGAACAAAACGAAAACAAATTAGTTATGATTTACATAATAGCGTGTACAATGCGATATTATTAATGCGCGACCGCAGCTGCAACGGCGGTCAGTTGAAACGTTCAAAAGGACTCGCTGCGTACCGGATTGCTTCATGATGTCGGCCACTTCGCGCCAGGCCTCGTCCCTGGCCGACATCTTTTTGCACGCCTGCACGCTTCTGTCGTACAGCACGGGCCGCCGTTCGATCTCGCTGATCAACTGCTCCTCCATGTTATCGTCGTCGCCGGGCCGCCGCCGCCGTCGCCGTTTCTGTCGCCGCGCTATGGTTGTTGTTTTCGAGATATTCTCAGGTCCGTCGTGCGGTCGCCGTCTGCCTGACCGGGCCGCCGTCCGTTCGCTGTGTTTCGCTCGTAGCACGCGGCCAAACGACGCGCGGACCACCTGTGCCGGGTTACACTACTGCCGCAGTGCCGCGGCGGCGGTGGCGGCGGCAGCAGCGGCAGCAGCAGCAGCGCAGCAGCAGCAGCAGCAGCGGCGTCGGCGGCGGCGGCGACGACGACGACGACGACGGCGACGATGG